TATGTATCTTGGTGATTCTAAATGAATATATACTCAGTGCAAAATATATGAAGCTTCTATAAAATTTGATTAGATTATTATTAATTAACCTAGAAATTATTATTAATTAATCTTAAGTGTTACATAGTATTTGTTTGTGTTATTTAAAAATATCATTCCAAGTTTGCAATAATAATTATAAATCTAAAATTAGGAAGAAAAAGGTGAAACAGAAGGAAAAGAAAACAGATGACAAGGACACACCGTACTTGGACTTAGATAACATTATAGATGTACAAGAAAATGTTGCAAAAGATTTTAAGTTTCTTATGAATGCTCCAGTATCAGAAGACAATTTCTTTGTTTCACAATCAGAAAAAAATTGGAGCATTGATACATCTAAATATTCTGAGTACTTTACACTTGATTTGAAAATTTTATCCGCAGCAATTGAATCAATTCCATTCAATGAAAATGTTAATATTCATACTAAATACTTTAGTGTAAGTTTAATGATTCTTTAAATCTAATCTAATTTAATAATTATATTTAAAATTAATGAATAATATCTGTAAACATTTATTATTTTAGAGTGACCAATTGACAAATATTTATAACAAAGCAGAGCAGGGTAAACAGAAATACAATGAAATGTTAAATAGTTTAGAAACTGAAGTTTCAAGTGATCTAAAAAATATAGAAAGTAATCAAGATTCAATAGATGATACAACTGAGGATCTAGATTTTTTGCTATCACTCAAAGAACCTGTGGATGAGCCTTTAATGGCAGTAAAGCCTTTACCTACACCTTTTGATGCTGGTCTAGGTTGGAAAATAATATAATAGAGTAACATTCAAAAAATTATTTTTATGTGCTGATTAATCTAACACATATCTTTTGCAGATACAAAAACAGCAAATAAATCTAGTAAACCTATAAAATCTATCGATTTGGAAAAGTGGTTGGATTCTGTTTTAGATGATTAAACATTGAATTGTGTTTACTACTTATTTATTTTTTTTTTACGATTAATAGGATTCACTTAGTTTTCGCCTGTAATAAAGATAAAAAACAATATATCTAATAAAGATACATTGTAGTGCACATTAATTAACTATTACCATTTTAATAGATTAAAATTAAGAAGAGACTTTAATTGATAATAAATTATACTATGAGATGCATTTTAAGATCTTTCTTTTGAAGAATATACTTGCAAATTAAAATAATGGTTTGGTAGTAGCAATAAATGCACACATTCAGTCTATGTTAGTCTAGTACTGCTATCAATAAGGAACAACCACATTAAGATACGATTTCATATGTTCATAAACTATAAGCATAATCGCACCACCTGGTCCTAATCTCAAGACCTTTGGTAGTAATCCTTTATACAAGGCTCTGAATCTAAAATAAAAAATTCAGCTATGAAATTGTTGAAATAAAGGAAAGAATTTTCAAATTTTTACAGTGTGTTCTCACCCTTCTCTATGATAGACTATATAAATTGTTTGTATAGTCCCCCTGTATTGAATTTCACCTTGAGGTCCTTGTATGCGACTTTTAGCAACATCAAATGGTATATTCATACAAGATGCTAATGTACCTGATATAAAGCCTATGACAAACTGAAAAGAAGATTGTTATATATCCAGGACGTGTAACAGAACTTAGTAAACGAAAAATGAATGTATCAATTGATACATAGGTACAGAAAATTGTACCTTAAGCAACAATTCTGGAGCATAATCTTGTTGTGTCTTCACCCATGGAAGAAGAGTATTGTAAATACCGAAGTAGAACGTATTAAAAATACTGTTTCGCATTATTGTAGCAGATAAACCTTTATTGAGACCATTCAATCCAAACCCTTGTTGTGCAAGTATTCGTTGGGTTACAGTGAAAGTTGATGGACTATGTTTAAAATGCTTGCGATCAGATTGCATTTGTACTTTAACTACTTCAAATGGATTCACTAAAATACCCTCTGTTACACCTGTCAGGAAGCCAGCATAATAAAATACCTAAAAGGGAGTATTATCTTATTCACAATTGTATAGGATATTTTGTTTGTTTGTTATATTCTACTCTACTGGTGGGACGATAGTGATAGAAGAATATGACAATGATCACCACTGTTTCAATTTCTGATCATGGAAACGTTATTGTTATGCAATAATTAGTAGAAAAAATATCTATTTTCTCTTATTTTTTAAAGAAGTTTTTCATATTACACATACCATTGTTTTTGATGAGCTATCACTAAACAGCTTCTTGTACTGCTCAAAGGAGAAGAACTGAAAATATTGAATTTTAATTTTTACTGAAATAAGATAAACAGCAGAACTACAACTTTTTGCAGCAAAAACATTGCATAACGTTCACGTAAAATATAAGTCACATACTTTCACTGCTCTTTTTGGCGTTTCCATAATAACTGGAGGTAATATACCTTTCCAGAATGCTGCAAACCCTTCATTTAGATACATTTTTCTCATACAGTCACGAATTCCTGTGATAAAAGTGTAACCAAAAGATGTGTATAAATAATTGAAGAAAAAAAACATTAAAATGCTCAAAAAAAAATCAGTGAAAATGAATAATTAACATAAAAATAAATACAAGTTAGCGATACAATGCCTGTATAGTAAAGAGCATCATTTTGTGCAATTTTGACCTGTAGTTGGAAGCGTGTTTTAATAAGGTCCATTGGATGCATTATGCAGACTTCTACAAAACCTGCACAGCCTCCTGCACCAATTTGAATTGCAGCTTCTCTTACAAAACTTGGTTTATGTTGTATAGTTTCTTTGTAAGCCATTCTGTTACAGTCACTTCTATATATGTTTGTTGCGAATAACTTCTTATATTATTTTTGTGTACCGGATAAATGATCACTCTTTTCTTAATAGGAATGAAATATTTTTTTCTCTATAAGTTTTCTTCTAATTTCACTGTAATTCCTAAGATGAACATAAAAATAACTTAAAAAACAATGCAATAACTAAACAATTTTTTAAACAAAACAGTAATTTCATAAACAAAATTATAATTAATTGAATATATACGTTCGAATGACACGTTTTCGTAGTGCTAGTTTTCTGTTGAATGGGGTTCAGAAACGAATGATAATAATTACGTAAATTTTACAGAATTTTAA